TAATTGGTAATGCAGATAACCCACATACAGCTCCACTGTCCTCCACTCAATACTTTGCTCGTTCAATAAAAAGTGGAAATAATTCCTGGTAAAACAAGGAGGGAGGGATACTTGGCTCCTGCTTCCCCTTCTTTGGCCCTCTTTGGGACTTACCATAGGAGGTGTGCAAGAAGGAAAAGAACAGGGAGAGAAATTTAGACAGTCAGATGTCTTTCATCTTATGTATTACACAATCCTAGGCTAGGGAGTAGGTCATGTCCCCTCAGTTCATCCACCTGCAGAGGTCATTTCCCTCTTTTGTTCTTTACACTATCCCTGTATTCTTCTGTCCTCACCTTGCTGTTTTCCTTTACTGTCTCTAAACGGCAGAAAACAAAAGACCATTAATTGTGTCACCATCTGATCTTACAAACCCACCAGTGTGGGTGGTAGGAAGCAGTTAGCTCTCCAGAAAGGCATTTCAGACCAGAATGTATTTATTTTAAAAGGGATATCTTTTATTTGTAACATGCCCGGTGATGCAGCATGACTTCAGCGGTGCATGCACTATCGTGGTTTCTCACTGTCCATCGCTGGACGAGGGAGAAAGTCTGTTACCTCCTAACAGTGCTGGGAAGTGCTGCTGTGCCACATTCCAAGAGCTCCTCTGTATAAAAGAGGACTTGGAGTTGATGCTTGAAAGCCTTACTTACACAGTCCTTTCTCCTCTATATTGCTTCAACGTTGCTTCATTTTAAAAGAAACTTCCATTTTACAGTAGAGACACTTAACACCCTTTTGTGCCATAAATCTATAAATACAGATGCAGAACCTATAGCATATTTAGCAGAGAGAAGCCCTGTCAAGCAAGTAATCCAAAATACACTCACTGTAAAGTCCACAACATTCCAAAATAGAAGAAGAGAGTTCTGTTAAAGAAGGCCACTAGCAGCAAGAGTCAGCTCTACAAGAGGCTGCTACTACCACATTCACAGTTAAATTGCCACCCACACTCTGAAGTCAGGCTTGGCTTGGTGGCTTTTGTCACTAGCAAGAAGCTGGAAGCATTAGCTGTTGTGAAAACTGAGGAAAACCTAATCATCTTGGATGGTTTAGGAGCAGGATGAAAATTCCCCCCCAAACAATGATCTTTGTCTACTACAGATTTATTTTACCTTTGCCTCTGTTGCCATCATGAAAATGAAGTACTTAAAATTACTACAGATTGGTCCAAAAAGGACACTTGAAGACATGGCTTAATGTTAAATGGTTTTGGTGTGTTTTAAAGTACACAAGTTTTTTCAGTGTCCTTTGTAGCTACCTAAGAACTCCCACCCATGTGATTTGAGGCCAAGGGGGAAAAATCAGATTTTTCCTAGCTTAAACCAACAGTTTTTCTGGATTTCCTCTCTACTGAGGTAGATGATTATCCTTCCGTAAGTACCTAATATGCACTTATGTACAACAGCTCAGATAATACATTAAGATAATACTTTTACCTATGCAATATGTTAAAAGGAAAAGCACCCAAAAAATAGGGAATTGCATTTTTCAGACACTGTCCCTTTTTCTGAATTATTTAGAACAATACCAGGTATACCTGCTCCCACAAGTTAAAAAAAAAAAAAATAATTCAGCCCACATTTTACATAGTTGTGAAGTCCATCATTTGCCAGGGATGGGTAAATACCATCCAGAGTAGAGCAGGAACTTACCAAGAAGTACAGCAACGTATGAGAAAGATGACAACCACTTTAGTGGATAGCTGATACTGACCTTAAATATCCTCCCAAGCCTGTTCCAACATTAGAAGCATTTCATAAACAAAACCCACCAAAACCAACTGCTGTCATTTGAGCCCTTTGCAAACAGTGAGTTTACTTGCACAGTGCTCCTGTGATATATGGAGATTACATAGGTTTACTGAAACACAATTGTTAAGTACTGTGCAGCATTCAGCCAGAGAATCTGGGAACAAAATGTAGATGTTAATCCATTGCCTTAACCACTGTAAAAGCCTTTCTTTCTTAATGAGCATGAGTTACGTTTATCTTCTGTTTCATGGTATTTAAAAAAGAAGTTAGGTTTCATATTTATTTTGTATTCACAGTACAGCACACTTGATATGCCGTCTTGTACTTTCAAGACATTTTTAAATAAAAGTATTTTTCAACTACGTGGTTCTCCTCACTTATGCATTCACTCTCTTCAGAACAGCAGGACATACAAGGAGGAGCCAAGCAAATGGGTGTGTTTACGTCCCAAGGTTTTCTCCCTTTTATGCAGATTTAAGAAACAGTAACTGCGTGTTAGCTGTGGTTGCTTCAAAACAGAGCCTCCCTTCTACCTTGAACACATCTCCCTGAAGGAACTTGCCATTCTCATTCTCTACTCGTGACAGATCCAAACCACCAAAAGCCAAGTTCGTTTAGGTGACAAGTGAGGTCTGGCAGGGACACGCATGCAAACAGCAATGCAAAACTAATATCTCTCCCTGTCGTCGCTTTTGTATGCATACAGTTAAGCAGTTGAAATAGGTTAAAGATAGATTAACCTAAGATAAAATTAAATTCCAGACAAATGTGCCACTGTACAGGGCAGGTGCAATAGTGCAAATATAATCAGAAACTGGAAGTATGTCCATACAAGTTGACATGACCTGCACTTGGCAGCCTCTCTGTCAAAACTGCTAGGGGACAAACATAATCCAATTTTGACTTTCACTCATCGTGTCCTGCACACTTCCATATCAACCTGTTTAAGATGCACACTGGTATGCATCCTTCACATCCTCCTCGCCCCACACAGGGAAATTTGTGCCTACAGTCAGATTTTCTCATGAAACAGATTTTAACGCTGCACAAGAGTAGCTCCCAGGCTCTAGGTTCAGTGAACCTAGCAAAAGGTCATTATCATTGAATTATTTTCAATTCAAGCGATTACGTTCACTCCTGGCGCCGTAATATGAGCAAATGTAATAAAAGTTCCGATTTGATACTATTAAATACAGTATGGATATTTTATATTTCTTACCACAGTTTTTACAGTTTCACAAATATCAAAACCCAGGTGTACATGTCCATTTTGCAACATAGCATGACTATACAATTCCAAAAAGAGCAGGCATTTCAAAGACACAATTCTGAAGTGTAAACACAGTGTACAAGCTCTTCACCTCACAATCCAGGTGCTATGCAGTAGCAGCTGAGGTAACACCATACAGCATGAACTCAACAAATGGTTGGTTTGCCTCAAGATGATTTTTAGCATCCTTCTGTCCCATCCCCTGTTCAGTCTTTAGTTCTCCCCCAAGTTATACAAACATACAATAAATACATTTCTGATTTTAAAGGACACTTAGACAAGTCATGAGGATTTATGTGAGTACAGTACATTTAAGTTCAAGTGCAAAAAAAGTAACTAGTGGCTAGTCATCGATGTTTCTTTTTATTGTCTATGGTGTTGGTCCCAGGCACCACCGGAACATAGGTTGTTCTAAACGCACAGCTAAAACACAGCTATGGGGCACCCCTTCAGTCAAGCTAACTGGATGTCAAAGTGGGTAAAACCCCACACCCCCTTTCCTGCTTAGCTTCTGCCATCTTCCTCTCCCCTAACCCTGTGCTCCTGTTAATCTTGCCTCTGGATCACCGTACAGTCTCACAGCACGCACCTTCCCCATGGAAGGGCCCAACACATCACAGACATCTGAATTCAAGGAGGGCTGAGCAATACTCACTCAGTCCCGTAGAAGCTGAGTGCTCAAAATCTCCCAGGAACAAGCTGTTAATAAAAGCAAATGGGCCAAAACCCTCTCCTGACTAAACCTCCCAGACCCCTCCTTGAGCCCCAGGACATCCCTCCAGCAGCAATTTTCACTATGCACTAGCAAGTGAGCTGGCTGCAGTTAATATTGAACAGCATAACAAAACAATCCAAAGTCTTCCAGTGTCTTGACATTGGGCAAAGTAACTTCCTAAACATACTGCAATTTAGTTATGTTGGCTTCCTCCTGAGAATCTTGCACTCTACTTGATTTCCGTGTGAACAACTTTGCCCCTATAATCCTAATCATTAAGATTTGTAGGTAATTCCTCCCTACCCCCCACCTTCCCTAGGCACTTAAAGCTTACTGTTTGCTTAATAAATAACCACAGTAACTACACTGCATTAAATAAACCATAGATGATGAAAATGACGTATAGATGATGAAATAAAACCCCAAAAAGACACTGTGTCCATTGAAACCCTTGATCAATCTCAGGTTGTGCAATCTTGATCAAAGATTCTTGTCTCAGTACAACATCAAACCTAAAATTACTCAAATGCACCCAATCTATGCCCAACTGAAGGGCTGCAAGTGCAGAGGTTAACTTCTTCAGAAGCCTTCCTCCAGCTTTTTTGTTTCACTAAAACACCAGTTCAAAACCTTTGCTTTGCAGAACTAAACCTTTATCTCAAACAAGATAACATGGGCTTCAAAAACATATTCTTTGAATATGTGTGTGTTTTACTTAATCCATCACCGTAATATGAAGATACACTTGCTAAAGCTACTCTGTTTCTGAGAAATCTTTACAGAGACAGTTTCATGCTGTTCCTATATTTATTGGATCTGATATTTTCTAATAAACAATGCAGGGAAACTCAGTTTCTCTCCTAAAAAAGTCTTTTCATTTTGTCTTGGGAACAAATTCAAGGAAAATTATCCGATCAGGCCAGACACTCTGTCCCTCAACAAGTCAAGAGCGAACTCCCTTTTTCTACAGATTGCAAAGAAATCTCACAGCACTTGACTCAGCTTTAGCAAAGCAGCCAAGAATTCTTCCTACCGTTAGATCTGTCCATATCACTTCCCTCAAGAATTCCGAACTTTTGGCTTCCCTGCTCATGTTGCTCTGTGTAGTCATATGAATATTCTTTATATAGTTAAAAGCTTGCACTGCATCACATTATGATCGTTAAGATGAAGGAAGTCCTACTTTTGAGCTCCTACTCCAGCATTTCCCAGGTGAGAAGCAGAATTCCATGCACTGGATTTGATAAGATGAGCGTGTCTCAGGGCCCTGCAGCAGCAGGTTGAGCATCATGATCCGACACAACGCTGTCGCCATCTACTTGGGAATCTGATGTTGCTGTAGGTGTTGGTGCTGAACAATTTCTGGACTGCCCAGAATCTGTCGGATTTTGGGGTTGTCTTGCTGAGCTGGCTGACGAAGCACTGCAATTCTCATTGATTTTCTAAAGAGAGGGGAAAGGATTGCATGCAAAAAGTAAGTATAAGCACCCATGACACTATCCCCAGTAGTATACCCCCAGATGCATTCAGGCACTTCTGGAAGTTCACAAAGCACTTATTTTGAATGCCCGCAACATAACAAATCAAACTTAAAGAAGCCAAGCAAAAGTAGTACATTTAAATCCAGATGACACTAATAGCAAGCAGACAGCAGCTTACCTTCCATCTCTTTTCCTAACTGCACTTTCCCAAGAAGCATGCAAAAAACAAACTTGTTGTGTTTCAAGGGAAAAAAAACACAATTAACTGGACTTCAAAGTGTTCAGACAATATCATTATTTTGACCAAACAATTCTGCAAAAATTTTTCACGCTCCTTAAATGTAGCTTTCCTCAGTAGTTCCCTCCCTCCCCAAGATACCGCTCAGACAGAACTTTCGCAGTACCGATGTACGATTCTATCCAGTCTACTCAAACAGGCCTCACAAAGGACCTTAAGAACAGATTCAAACACCCGTTATATTCCCCAGGGTTGAGACAGCAAGCCTCACGCTAATACATTTCACTTTAGGAAATGACACAGTATCTACAATTATTTGTTTTGCGCTGAGGAATAGAGAATATGGCAAGTATGTCCCTTTGTTTGAAAGAGTATAAACAAGCAGTAGCAAAATTGCGCCAAAATCTTAATGAAATAAGAAGGAATAATTTTTGTCACTAATTCTCTTTTCTGTGCACTGACCCTCCTTCCAAACGATTTTCATTTTGAGAAGGCTATATAAGAAATTTAGTAAAAGAGCTGGGCAGTTTTTTTCTAGTTTCAGTATTTTAATGTCATCAGCCTTAAACAAATGACTGAGCACAAAACCTGAAATGTTTTGGAGAAGGTCTGTCCTTTTGGGGTGCTGAAATAGGGATAAGAGATTTTAAGGAATACAAACACTGAAGAAAAAGTACAATGGGGTGCATTGAATTTTGGCACATCAACAAGAACTACTGTTATATCAGTACTGTATTTTTACAGGAAGGGAAAAATCATGTGCCACAGAAATGCCAACAGGCACGAAAGCTCTTTCTGGCTTCTTCACAATTCTTAGTGAAGCAGCCGGGTCATGTCCCGCAGTGTTGGACAAGTCCCTCTCAGACACCACGCAACTGCAAAACATTCTTTTCTTGCTGTGTTCATTGTGTAAGTTCTGTGCAACTGCTTTTCTCTGATTTCTCTTTTTAAAAGGGGGACAGCTTATACTAACCAAGACCCTGAGGACATTTACCAATGGGAAACAGAGCGTTTTTTCTGGACAAATTACTTTGATGTAAGAGACGCAGTGACATCTCCAACGTCACTATAAAAGCCACGTTGTTTGACTCAACGAAGTTCAAGAACAAACAAACAAAAAACCTGACCAACCTAAAGCAGCCATGCCTCTAAATATATTTTGAAGAATAACGACAACCAAGAAAGGCAGGAGATTGCTGACCAGGTGAAATTCCTACACACTCTGCTCTGCTGATTCACGGTCACATCCCAAATTACCCGTTTCTAAAGACAGCAGTTGTGGAAAAAGCATTTCTCTGTTTACGCCTACCAGGTGCACAAGAAGGAAGCTCACCCACTCCTTCCAAACAGGCAAACACAGTGGTTTTAACATTAACCTTGCTGTTCTAAAACTTGCATTGACAGCATTTCCCTACTTTGCTTAAGCAGTGTGCTTCAGTTCCATTCTGAAAGGCATTTCCACAGCATTAGATGATAGTTCAAGATATAGGCCCATCCAATCATTGATGAAGCTACTAAAAGTATTTTGGGGGCAGACTGGACAGAAGGGAAATGGTGTAAAGTAAGCATCAGCAATCAGACATTTTAAGTCATAGAATGGCTCTTGTCTGGTGTAACTCTACAGATTAAAAAAAAAAAAAAAAAGATATATACTTTATTTGAACAGAAGGCTCTGTATCCCATCAGTAGTTGTCTGGAATACCTATTTCTGCAACGATGTAGACATTTGACAGCATCACCCAAGGAAGCAAAACTAGATAAAAATCATTTTACACTCTGTTAAGCGGCTGTGCATCTTCACGTTCAATTATCACCTTGTAAATTTTGCAAAATGCGTAACCCACAGATTTCAACTAATATGAAAACAAATGTAAACTTAAAGTGAATTCAAGTATAACCAAGCCTGTAAAACGATAGTCTCTTTCTACAGCTCTCCCTCCCTTCCCATCTTCAGGAAGATAATACTTGCAAAAATAGTTATTCCTGCTCTACTATACATAGAAAACAACTCTATTGCATGCACTATTTCAACTACTGTTTCACAACTCCTGATTTTTTTACAAGCCGACAAAAGAACACCTGCCAGGTACTAACAGATTTACCCAGCTATAAAGGTTTTCCAGCATCCAACAAATACATAAGAACTTCCTGTACATTAGAAGATTACCTGCAATGGCTGATTCTCAGGAGCTGGATTGGTTTTGGATAGTTTAACCATCTCTTTTATCTGGTAGACGGCATAAGCTAAGGTGACCCAAGGAGAAGAGCTGATGCCCCAGGCTGGCTTGTTCACATCTTCTTGCTCTTCTTGGTGTTTAGTTTTCTTTACAGGGAGTCTGGGCTCAGTCCGAGGCATGATGTCTTCCGATTGCTGTTGTACAAGGTCAATAGTTGCTATGGGAACAGGACTGGAAGGCACTGGGATCCTTTCCGCCAGCATTGTCTTTTCTGAAGTTTAAAATAAAATAATCACTGGCAAAGCCAATGAGCTTGAAAAAGAAATGCGAAGCAGACAATGAACGCTAAGTGCGTCGTGCTTTCATAACATGGTTATCACTGTACTGAAAGCAGAACACTGGCACAAACAGCCAGGAGCGAGACATGCCACAATGCAGTTAGGGAAACACAACATGGATTTTGCCTTACAAGAAAGGCTGTTCTGCAACTGCAGCGACGTATTTTAGATATCTGCATAAATAGGAGGGGCAAACGAGTATAAAGAGGTTTGTCTGTTCCCAGCTACCCATTAGAAATATGTATTTTCACGTTATGTGGAAGAAGTCATTTTCGTGTCATATGTGAAGTGAAAATAAGTCTTTTAGACTCGTAGCAAACTTCTTTCTCTGTGTAAAGCCTGCATCCTACTACTCACTCATAACTAAACACTGGCTTCAAACATGAACCATTTGGTGAAGCTGCACGGTCTACATCATCAGAACAGCCGTTTCTGATCTTAAAATTTCTAAACCTACTGATTTGACTTAAAGAAGTTGTTCTACACCTTCACTGCTTTTTTTATTTAAGAAACAAGCCACCTCCATAGTTACTATGGAGTTACGCAGTAGTGAGAAAAGAACAAGGTTAGAGTGACACACTGGAGGAGACAAAATTTCTGTCACAGAGTTTCAGATAAAGGAAGAAATCCTCCCGACAGAACTTTACATCTAAGGTCTTCCAATAATCTGAAATAGTTTTCAAAACTGTCTTGAAATGTCATCCATAAAATGACTGTCATGACCCAACACAATGTGCCTTACACTCTTGAAGAGCCAGACTATTTATATACAAAAATTAATTAAACAGATTTTTATAAACCCTTGGATATTTTAAGTAATAGCTGTATGTTCTTTACAAGTCTATAAATAACACAGTCTGTAAATTTTGAGAAAGTATTTTTTCTGAGTAGAAATATTTTACCGATGAAAAAGATCTTTTTTTCAAAATTATAAAATTGTATTTTGTTTACAGCCTCTTAGAGAGTACTGGATATTTTAAGCAATGGCTGGATGTTCTCTAGTAGTGAAGAAATGAAGAGACTAATCCTGCACACGCTTGACGACATGATTAGTTTTACTCATCCAACTGGTCATGTTGAAAGCAACCTAATTACTGCCACGCTTAAAATTAGTATACACACTGTTAAGATGGGTAGTGTGTATTAAATGAAAACCGAAGACTGAAACAAACAAAATAGAATAAGGCCACTAAGAACAAACTATTCTTTTGTAGGTTCACATGTAATTAACTGAAAGTTGACAGGAAAATGAAACAGCAAGTATCCCTTTCACCTTTTCATTTTTTGCCATTATCATTTGAACAGAGGTGAAGAAAATTATAGCAAAATAAATATTTGAACACTTCAGTACAGGCAACTTGATAACTAGTCAAGGACAATTCATTTAATATTCCAGCTAAAGAAAACTGACTTTCACTTCATACTCAAAGCTCATATAGGAAATCAACATTTGGGTAAAAAGCAGCTCAAAAATTCATGACTTTTCAGAATATGCCACAGTTTTGTTGCCTTTGTAAGAATTAGTTTTATGCTAAATCCTTATACTTTGCACCAATTATTTCATTTCTGGTTAGCTTTTATATTAATAAAGGCGGAGATGAAAAAGCTCAAGTTCCACCTGAGGGAAGATTTCTCAGGTGCCAGAACAGAAGTGCAGCCACTTATAAAAGCTTCTGTCTTTTGAAGCCATTTCTACAATTTCTGGCAGAGGTGGCTTGGACTGGTAGACTAAGAATGCGTGCGGTGGTCAAGGTGACCTTAAAGAACTGATGCAAGTGCAACAACTCACTACAGCTGTAAAGGCTATCCTAAGGGATTCTGAGAACCGAGAGGACATATAGGTAGTAAAATAAGTTATGCTTTTCTCCTATTGACATCCAAGAACTCAATGCTGCCCTTCTAACAGCAGCAGCTCACCAATTTCTATCATTGCTCAGGAAAAACCTTCTCACTTGAAAGCAAACTGTTTTCTCAAAATCTGAGTAAAGACACCAAACGTACAAAATTAAAGCCACAGGGAGCAGCTTCTGAGATACCTTTTTTCACTAGCTCTAATTTTGTAGTGTCTCAGTGATGTGAATATTTACCTTCTTCTTCATCAGGAACCAACAGCCACTGGATCAGTGCAAATAGAAGAAGAATCACTAAACAAGCCATCCCTATTCCTCTGAATGTGGCAGCAGGACCTGTAATGAGATTTTAGTTTTTTAATTGAGAATCTACTGACTTAATAAAATGAGTCAGCATTATACACTCCTTGGGTACGCATTGTCCCATGTAGACTCTTATTAGCTTGTTTCATTACATTTTCCTCCCCCAACATTTCAACAGGCTTTGCAAAGGATTTTTAACCAAGTAATTAGATTCTCATTTGTTCATTGAGAGGCTGCATAGTATCAACCTATTCTCTCACAAAGGATTCATTTATCTTACTTACGGATCAGGTTGGAGATTTGCTCACACACTACTAAAAATATCCAGGCATAACTTATTTAATCAATCTGTAACGCTGAAAGGACAAAGCCGTAAGCAACCCGGTCTGAACTGAGTGCTGACCTTGCTTTGATCAGGGCCGTGGACTGGAGATCTCCTGAGGTCCCTGGTCTATGTTCTATGATTCCATGACTTATACAAAGTATATCACTCTTTAAAACAGAACAATACCTTAAGCATAAATAAGTTTAAAGCTGGTAGTTCAGTAAAACCAGAACTTCAATAAATAAACCAAAAATCTTCCAATACAATTTTTGCTTACCAAAGTAATTGACCAAAACTCCTCCAACCATAGCTCCGCATCCTCTGCCCAACCCCAAGTGGAGACCTTGCAGGATTCCCTGGGCTGACGTTCTCAGCTCTGGAGGCACTGCCGCGCTAAGGTATGAAATACAAGCTGCCCATATAGCCGCATGCGTGACACCTAGAGAGATGAAACACTGTGAAGAGCACGGGGTCCAGAGCATACTAACACAACATCACAGCAACTGCACTCACCCATTGGAGCACGAGTTGGAGAAAAACAACAAAATCCCCTCACTGACAAGTGTCTAGGAAGTACAAATCAGCTTTTGGTAACGTGATAGTGGCAACCAAGCCATGGGGAGATGACAACTCCTTCTCCTGCAGAGTCTGTCAATAGCTCTTTCTCCCTCTAAGATGACCTCACTTCTCTTCTTGAGACACAGTCCCTAGGAAGACTAAAGCGTGTTAAAAGTCTCTCTGCCAGACTCCTCGTCCCTTCAAGAGTGACTCGGGGCCTTTGAAATACGGTCCTGATTTCATAAGCCGCAGGCAATTAAAGCACTGATGCCTCTCAGCAGTCTCCTTGCTGCCACAGTGAAGGCAGTGCAAAGGTCATAAAACCCAAACAGAATCAGAGATATCGATGTCATTTCAGAGGCAAGAATTAATCCCCTCCTGCCCTTCTCACTTCCCTCCCCCCCCAAAATCAACTGCCTCCAAGCAAACTCTTTCTGAACTCAACACCAACACACTCTGCATTTAGCACCGAATGGTCTGGATGGGAAAAGCACGTAAGCTCCTCAGGGTAGGCCGAAGATGCTGATTTTTACGCCTGCTGCTTGGAGGCAGAGTCAGCGTGCCCTTCCTCCCGCTATGACTGCATCCTGCGTAGGCGCTGCCGCACGCTGCTGCCTCCCATTTCACCCACTCCCGCTCCGGGGACTGAGCACAGCAGAGGTCCTCACTGCTACAAACAACCACCATGTATCCCAGACAGCCCCAGCTCTCCAGCAGAGATTTGGAAAGTCTCTTTCTGGCACATGCCTTATAGATTCAGGGTCATGAACATTTTTTCCTACTGGAGGAGAAAGACAGCTTAAGGGGAAGGACAGGGAACGCCCATCATCATGCAGAAACTTGCTCCAGGTGGAGCCCTCATCTTTGAGCACCTGCTTGGTGGGGGTTTTGTGCAGTAGGGAAGAACAGGAGAGGAAAAAGCAGGGTTGTGGAGAAGTTGGGGAAAAAAAAACAACCAAACCACAGTTTTGTAGCTCATCACATGTTAAATAAGCCTGAACTATTTTGCCACCCTCAGATTGAGTGGGAATATTTTTTTCTTATTTGAGTGGTACTAAAAATAGTCATCACAGCTTACCAATGCCTGTGCTCTACTGCCTCGGTTTTAAAAAAGTGCTGGCACAACTGATGATTCAGTCAACATATTTCTGTCCTCTACACTTGACTTACTAATGAACAGTTGGACACTCAATAATTACTTAGGCATTTAGGCTGAAGACTCATAAGAGCAAGAAAACACATGATTTTGTAACATACTCAGAGAATAACCTGGGTTTTGCTTATTTGTAAAAGTGTAAATAGCACTGCATGGAATTGATACAGTTCAGGTATAGACATGTCAGATATCCACTAGGCCGTACATTCATTTTCATTCCAAATCTAAATAAAAATTTCTCAGGCTTTGGGTTTGTAAAGGCCACCTTTATACACTGCAGAGCTGGTTTTGGTAACAGTACATCATCTTGTTGAAAAATAAAAGGCTTATATTAGGACAAGTGTACTTTACCTTACCACTTACAGTTTAAGGCTTTAAAACTCAGATTTTTCAATCCAAAAAGCTCAGAGTTTTAAAACTCACTGAGTACCTACTTTTTAAATGCAGGCTCACATACGTATTGAATATAGCAACCAAGAACTATCCCAATAACAAAGCAAAGCTAATCTAACATAGATCATGGGGTTTTTTGTTTTAGAAAGGATATCAATTAATGTAAAACACTCGGTTTTATCAGTTGTTAAAGAATAAGTCAAATATTAAAGCCAGGCAAATCAAAGACACATCAGAAATTATTTGAACCGTGAAGCACAATACTACTGTATTTGTCTGAAAACAAAAGGCCCTACTTAACCAACAGGTTCTTGGATGTTTTCACCTTTACTAGACAATCCAGATAGAACACAGTGTTCTCTGTTCCTCCGAAAACAAATCCATACCTTTAAACCAGCTTGTTTCACTTGCCTTTAAAGGTATGGGCTTTTTTTTTTTTTTAGTATGTGTACATTACTAATGTGATTTTTATTATAACTATTTATAGAACAGTAACTATTTGGAACAGTTTTTACAACCTCTACAAGAAGTCTGGTCTGGATTACTGCTAATCACAATTCATTTTTTAAAAGAAGTTGTTCACAATACATATATTGTGACATTTGCTAAAACCACTAACCACCATTTCACCATCTGGACTATAGTTCCAACACGCGTACCAACCCTAGTGTTATGCTCAAAATAGTGATGTTTAGCAAACAGGATAATTTACCTATAAACCAAGAGTTGAAAATTTGGGAAGCCAAATTTATTTCAAGAGAGAGATATCCTAATTATTGCCAGTTAAAGACCCAAGCTTTTTCCTCTCGAGACGTAACTGTGTTGCTGGAGCATCAGTAGAAGTCACTTCTTCGAACAGTTCTTGTTTTGGAGTTTGATGAATAACTGCTAAGTGAAAATAGCTAATTTTCAGGTTATCAATATAGTTTGGCACTTTAGAAAATTCATTTTATGAAAACTGGCGAGCTAGCACAGCTGTTACCAGAGAATCTGGACCGCTGCTTTGGAACAATAATTTGCAGCTAACTAGGCATATCAAAACTTAAACCATTAAGTGCGAAATGAACAAGATTGCTTGCGTGTTCGCAGACTGTGACATATAAACGCACTATACGCATTTGCCTATGAGGATGTCTTGAAATTTTCATTTATTAAAGATTCAGCCTAAGCTCTTATTTTCATCCATTGCATGTGAAGTCAATAGGGCATACAGATTCAAAACTCTAGTTTAAGAAGTGAGTTTGAACCTCCTCATTTACTCCTTTGAGAGTGCAATGATCTTAGAGTCCTCCCATCCCCATTACACTGCCAGCAACTGAAACACAGCATGGTTCTTATTGCAATCAATAGATGCAGTCTGCAGAGTCATCCTCCAGAAATCTCCCCATGCCCTTCAGCACAGCACATGGGGATAATCCTTCTTGTATTGCAGAAACACATTAAAAAGAAAAATAAATTCTTTAAAAAAATCAGCTGAAACTGTTGTTGACCTTAAAACCCCCTGAGTTCACTGAATCACAGAATGGTCAGGGTTGGAAGGGACCTCTGGAGATCATCTAGTCCAACCCCCCTGCCAGAGCAGGGTCACCTACAACAGGTTGCACAGGACAGCGTCCAGGCAGGTTTTGAATGTCTCCAGAGTGGGAGACTCCACAACCTCTCTGGGCAGCCTGTTCCAGTGCTCCACTACCCTCAAAGTAAAGAAGTTCCTTCTCATGTTAAGATGGAACTTCCTATGTTCAAGTTTATGCCCATTATCCCTCGTCTTATCACTGGGCACCACTGAAAAAAGACTGCTCCCATCCCCCTGGCATCTTCCCTTTAAGTATTTGTAAGTATTAATAAGATCCCCCCTCAATCTTCTTTTCTCTAGACTAAAGAGACCCAAGTCCCTCAGACTTTCCTCATATGAGAGATGTTCCAATCCCCTAATCATCTTCGTTGCCCTTTGCTGGACCCTCTCCAGCAGATCCCTGTCCTTCCTGAACTGGGGAGCCCAGAACTGGACGCAGTACTCCAGATGCGGTCTCACCAGGGCAGAGTAGAGGGGGAGGATGACCTCCCTCGACCTGCTGGCCACACTCTTCTTGATGCACCCCAGGATGCCATTCGCCTTCTTGGCCGCCAGGGCACATTGCTGGCTCATGGTCATCCTGTTGTCCACCAGGACTCCCAGGTCCCTCTCCACAGAGCTGCTCTCCAGGAGGTCAGCCCCCAACCTGTACTGGTGCATGGGGTTATTCCTCCCCAGATGCAGCACCCTACACTTGCCCTTGTTGAATTTCATCAGGTTTCTCTCTGCCCA